CAGATATGATGCTATTATACATATGTGCATAAATATGATATACGCTCAAATGGAATTTAGAGAAAATTATCTTCTTATTGAATTTATAATAAAAATATTCAAAAGTTAATAATTATGCATTAATATCATGCATTTTAAAAACAAATTTTGTATAGCCGCGAGCAGTTTACTTGTATAGAAATACCGCCACAAAATTTACTTGACTACTCGCTTGACTTTACTCATCCTACCTTGCACGTCTATCGATTAAGGAGGGTAAACAGAATTATGTAATGCGAGTATATTCTCTTTACAGAATGATGTTTGCGGATACGCCTCGTCCGTCGTATTAACCGAGCCCGATAAACAGAATTTGTTGATAATAGAAACAGAAGATATGTATATTCCAGCAGATGATGGTTCACGTTGCTTTTCAAACCGCAAGCATTTTTTTTTGCACTTGCCATAATAGCGTGCTTGCAATCGAAATCAAATTCGAGTTAATATCCGCGAATTGAATGAGTTCATTAAAATGAGGCGCAGGTAAAACCCCAGTAATATCCCAACGTATTTACGCATTTCGCAATGATTATTAATGATTATTACGAACGTGCATGTACTGATTGCATAGTGGATTTATTTCAATATATTTGGAGAAATTCTGACAATAATCGCAGCAAACGAATAAATGGATTTTTCAAACCAGTCTGAGAGAATATCGGATTTCTTGCGAGGTAAAATATCAGCGACTAAATAATAGTTGCATCTAAAGTTACCTTATTTGAATCATAAGAAAAGAATACATATGTACATTTTTTTTTAAATAATAATGCAGGGAGGAAGGAGGATAATTTTTTATCTATTATATATAGGTATTTAATAAAATAAAATTTTTAGAACATATTTTTATTGACAATTCTTATTATTTATTATAATACAATTTTATACACGGAGAGAATTTTTTCTTAGAGTTTACCCTGAAAATATGGTAGTTTTGAGACAACATTGTATTTCGGAGAATTTTATGTAAATTCCTCTCATTCGTTAATAAAACTACAATAAAGTATAAAATAAGTTTGATTAATTTTACTGAAGTACATGGAAAAAATCTTTAAAATATTATATTTTACCACACTACCATATTTTCAGAGTAAATTTTAAAAGATAATACTCTACGTGTAAGTATAAAATTTTAATTAATGACCAGAAATTTTATAACCTTAAAAAGAGTACGACTGGTAACTCTAGACTCTAGATATACCGTATAATAAACGTAGCACGCTGTGGTCACGCTATTAATACCCCAAAGAAGATTACTTGTTAATGCGTGTGCGTGTATGCGTGTCGTCTCTATGCAGCAGGAAGTGGACGTATTGTTAATAATGTGGGTGGTGTGCTGAATTCGCGGATAACACCTGGCTCGATGCTAAAGGCATCATTAATATGCCATGTAGGAGATAAGCGCGTAGTTAACATACCGATGGTGATAGTAAACGTGCATTTAACACTTCGCTATGGAAATGAACGTATGGTTAATACATCATCGAGCACGTGGTATATCCAGTTAACGCTAAGATGTTCACGACACGTGATTCGTGTCACATGTGTTATTGTTGACGCTTAACGTATACGGCGCCCGAATATTCTCCGAAACTGCTAATTAATTGTAATTTACAAATTATTCCGATAGATTATCGTGTTAAACAATTCTGACAACTAATACTAATAATAAAGAAATTCAATTCTAGGCACAAATTTAATAAAGATCTTTCTCAACAATTTTTTAATATTTAATATAAAATGTTTTTAGAATTAAATTTGTAATTAAGTTTTATAAATAAAAAATCCGTCTAAAGTTAAATAAAAAATGCTACTTCGTCATCTGTAGATAATGTGTGTTAAAAGATTTTTATATTTTTAATTATTTATATTTAAAGAACAATCGCTATTTGAATTTTTGTAGAAGAATTGTCTCTATTACTGTATGCAAGATTCCTAGATAAAAACAGCTATAGTGAGAATGTGGCGCACGCTGTATACGCCATTTAAGGAGTACACGTTGTCAGAATATATCAAGAAATCGATTTCTCTTACATATTCTTGAATAGTAAGTGGATGCAAATGCAGTTTTTGCCTATTCTAACAACGTGTTTCCTGTAATATGTTTCGATCCTACAATGCAACCTTTCAAATGTAACGAATTCTACATCGCGATACTTCATGTTGCTCGTAACTGTCCAATTGTTAAGATTTATTAACGAGCGTATAGATAGTTTCTCTGTAACTTGAAAATGTCTTCGACTGAATAATCAGCGGTGAAATGTGGCTGGACCAATGTAGTATTCAGTACCTTTGCAAAGGACATATCGATCGCAACGTGTTTGAGCCAATGTCGATGATAAGGTCTCATTGCGGTAAGATCAATGGAATAGCGAAATAAGGGAACGAAATAATTGAACAGCACAGTAAAATCTGAATGTGTATACCTATAACGCGTGCGAAGTAATTCCAGATTAAACAATCGCTGGCAAATCCAATCAGTAATGTAAACGGGAAAAAGAGAATAATCTAATTTTGAACTAATAGTTATTAATGCTATTAAGATGCAAACAAATCTAAAAACAGATTAAGGAAGCAAGAGATCAGAAACTATTTACAAGAATTAACTTCAATGATTCAGGTTTATTCCATTTGAACTACGATTTGTGTTGAAACTTCGTCTGTAATTGTCTTTGTACTGTGAACGATTCTACACTACCATTGGACATTATGATTTATGTCCATTTCAATCAATTTATTTCTAAATAAACAAATCATCATGCGAGTTTGTTTTTGAGGTTTACATCGTTGTGAAGTAAGTCTTGACTTATATTTATTATAGTTCTCACTTATTACTCTATTTATTAATTTAAAGGCTTAGTTATTACTTTAGTTATATATTTAAAGGTTTTTATTCATTACTACCATCCAGCCTTGCAACTGGTGAGAACGACTCTCTAATGGAGTAGGGGTTACTGCACAACGATTGTGATCAAATTATGCCAATTTTTGTTAACATCGTAAGTTTGTCTTCAATATCATAGATCATGACGAGTCATCGCATATTTTTTGCTAAAGAAGGCTAGAATACTAGCCGAAACATGTACAAATCTCATTTTATGTAAATGTAAGATAAAGCTTTTTTTGAAGAGTATTTCGCACCGACCACTGTGCTAATTCCCAACTGCCTGTTTGTCCTTTATTTAAATTTATTTCTATTTGTGTAGATTAACTTTAATCTCAGTTTAACTCTTTTCGCTTTTTTAATTCTTAGAAAATGATGAAACAATAAATTCTTAGGAAAAGATAAAAAGTAAGTTAAATATTAAAATTAAAATTAATCTACATTTTAATAGAAATGGATATCATTTATGGATATCACTTAACTTTTAGAAAACAGGGATCTATTTTTTAAATCTTACAGCTTTTTCTTAAGTAAGATTTGTCATAATTCATTACTTCATTATATTCCTTGCCTCAAAATATGATACTATTTCAACGCCACTATAACTTTTCGTTCTATAAAGATTAATAAATATTCGTCGAATAAATAAAATATGCATACAATATAATAATTCTCTAATGACCTCAATAACTTTTTAAATAATTTTGTTACAAGTATTAAATAAATACTTTCTAAACATGTTTCGCGTATATAGTGATGTTGTTATCTCTAATCTCACATTACTTCGCTTAATCCTCAGCCCGTTAGGTGAGGTTTAAGTCTCGATGCCATCTAGATATAGAATGTACGCAGCTTTCCTAAGAAGTTTAAGTGCTCTACTAAGGTAACACCGAACTTTGTAATTTCAGGTTAAAATATATCTGTTCCGCGCAACACAATTAGCAAGGAATATGCGGTTGCTCGTATATGCGCGGAAAGTTAAGATTAATTTAAACTTATTGCCCTAGAAAGTTGCAAGTTTTTATTAGACATTGGGTTATCTCGAAGTCGTAACAAATCTGTCAACTTGGCGATGTAAATCTATATATACTGTTATATATAACAGTATATATATTGTTATATATACTGTTATATATAACAGTATATATAGGTTTACATCGGCAATTTATAGTGTCAAACTTAACTTAAGATGAGTCGCCATTGCTCCTACTAAATATATCGTTACTTTACATTAAAACAATAATTAGATCAAATATTGACAAGACGTAGTCAAATATAACCATTGCTTTGGTATAAAATAACTGTATAAAGTAGCGACTCACCTTAGGTTAAATTTGACACTATAGCTTTAATAGTTTACCTTTGCAATTTTTAACAACTTTATAAGCTTTAATAAATAATGCATTTTATTTTTACTCAAAAAATCTTTTTAAAGCAAGCGAATTATTAAGATACGAGAACTGCTCTTATCTACTTATACACTGTTAAATTTGATAGGGTCAAATTAACTCAATGTGAGTCGCCACTGCTCCTACTAAATATATCGTTATTTTTTACTAAAATGATAATTAAATTTGACACTATATAATGTTAAATTAATACTGTATAGTATCAAATATAACCATTGTTTTAGTAAAAAATAACGATATTATTGAGTAGGAGCAGTGGCGACTCACATTGAGTTAATTAGACCCTATAAAATTTAACAGTGTACATATAGGTTGTTACATTTTCGAAGGCTTCATATTTTTTTAATAATCTGAAAGAAAATCAGGTTACATATTTTAACGTCTTAGAAAAGGCAAGCACACGTTAACCATCGCGTGTACAGTTTATACTTGATATACATATCTCTAGAGTTTTATACTTATCTCCAGAGTTTTAAATTTCTACCGTGTCCCATATGCCTGCTACTATCATACGTCATGGGTCATTCGCTGGTGCATCCACCTTACTAAGAGCTCGCTTCCGATAACGTTGCGTGCATCTTGGCTGCGCAAAGTGTATCTCATTAAGTATCGGAAAGACAAATCAATCCACTACAGTCTGAGAGTAAACCGCTCGTTACGTTTTTCAGGTTTTTTCTCGTGGCGCAATCCGGACAGCGGCTCCTGGTTCATACAAGCACTCTGCGAAGAGCTGGACCTTCACGGACGTAGCCGCGATCTACTCACCATAATGACCTTCGTTAATCGCCGTGTCGCCATCGAGTATCAATCCTATGTGCCACAAAACGAGAAATTTCACGCGAAAAAGCAGATCCCGTCGATTGTTTCGATGTTGACTCGCCTTGTGTACTTTCCCGACAAACACACATCAATACCGAACAATATTGACGATGGATCAAAGGGAAAGAAAACCGAGGTTTATAAAAGAGATGCAAAAAATTTGCTCCTGAAGGAATTTTTGAACAATCCTCAAACAAAACCGACTTAATTTCAGTCAAATTGTTTTGATGTATCCAAACAGTGATTATTGATCGACACAACTCATCGAACACATTTGTTACGATTGAGTTTCGTTGTCCCATAAAGAATTTAAGAATTTAATATGTGAAAAGAAGAAAAAAGAACAAAAATAGATTGTTTATACCTACACAGAAAGAACATCTACAAAGAAAGAAAATTTTGCTAAAATATAAAGTAATGCCTGACATGCTATTTGGTTTAAATATTTATATGTATTTTTAACAAAATTAATAAAGATATTTTGGTATAGAATTGATTAGCAAAACCTGAAAATTGAATAATTAAATAGTATGATATTTCAAGCGTCACCCTAAAAATTTAGCTAGATACAGATAAAAATAATTGTTACACTATTAAAATAATTATATAGGATGTTCAAGCTGGAATGTCAAAATTTTTCGTAGTTTTTTATCGTTATAGGCTTTCAGAAAATATAAAAAAAATTTTCAATTTCATTATTATATTATCAAATAGCTTTTTAATTCAAATGTTAAAACGTTTATTTAATAAAAATTAAAATTCGATCAAAAGTGAGAAAGACAGAGTTCGAGAATAAAATTTCGTTTATGCCAAAAAAACACCTAAATTGCAAACGAACAGTTAAAATACTGATTAATTTTTATGTAACATTAATTAATTATTCGTAAATAAACTTTTCTTTTGTTTTACTTGTCAATACATTGCAATTGATATGTTGAGATATATAATAAGTATAATTAATTGCTCATTACGCGTGTGTGATCATCTTACATAATTATTTCGATAGTCCAACAAAATTATTTTCTGATCTGCATCTAGTTAAATTTTTAGATATTTTAGCAAAAGCGTCCTTGCGTGTAGCACAAAATTGTCTGTGTTTTTATTATTATTTTACTGAAAAAGAGAGAAAGCGATAAATATTTTCAAATATTTCAGATATCCATATTATAATTAAAGATTTAATTAAATATTTTTAACTACGATTATTTTATACATGATATGTAAAATATAATTTCGTTTATATCCTTTACTCGAGCGAAATACATATATCATTAAAATTTCTCATTTATATTATAATGCTATTATGAAAACAATAAAGAGAAAAAATGGTAGATTACAGAATTAGTTAAATATCTAAATAAATTTACATATTCCTCCGTCCGTTTGCATTTATAAATGAATTCCTAAACAAATTATGAAATATTATGGAAATATCACGAAATATACATTTGATAACACTCAGCAAAGTAAAATAAATCGCCAAAGCGCATTAAGCAGTACGCCCCGAATTATTGTATTATAATCAGATTTACTATATTATTCTTAATTAGTATGCTAATTATGTGCAGATTTTCATAACGCTGTAAAGGCCGTTATAACCGTCAAAAATAATGATGACTGACGTTTCTCACTATTTAAATTCGTCTCGACGTATCGATCGCAATGTATGGACAAGTAAAACAATGCAAAAAAATTTCCATTTACAAATAATAATTAGCCAATATCTTTCCTTATATAAAAATTAATTAGCATTTTAAACCTCCGTTGCAATCTTTTTTCTAGCAACAAAACACTTTCAAATTTTTTCTCTATTTTAACAAATTTCAATTTTTATTAATAAAGGTTTTAACATTTGAGTTAAAAAACTATTTAGCAATGTAATAAAGACATATAAAAGTAACCCTGAATTTTTAAACAATTTTTGAAAGCCTATAAAACAATAAAAAGAACTTGAACTTGACAATAAAGAATTGCAAACAGAAAATTAAGATTTACTTCTCACAATTGTCGTTTGATGATGTACTAATAAATAAACAATATCTTTATTTTAGACCATATATGTGAGAAACACAATCAATACTAAAAATTAAAAATGCCTATTACGGTCGAAGCTGGATCTTCGTTGCTTAAATAATTCAATCTTGAATTACTAATATGTACTATATATGTACTTGCATATATACCATATTGTAGTCTTTTTCAAACTGCGCGCCGAATTATTTTTCCGAACTAAATAAACGCAATTAAAATTACTCTAGCAATCGTGAATTAAATTGACAAGTAATTTAATAATTTGATCACCTAAATAATTAATTTGCTACCATCAAGCATCATATATTATAAAGATGTTAATTTGTTAAAACTGTTAATAAATTTATTGCGAAAAATATTACCTCGGCCAGGACTTGAACCCGAATCTCTTGTATTCTGTACGAGCGTCCTAAGCCATTAGACCAACCGAGGCTAATAAATAAAACAATATAAAAAAAATTCCATTAAAAAATAGTTAACCAATATCTTTTCTTATACAAAATTTAAATAGTTTATTTTAAGATGATAGTTAATTCAATTTACTGAAGAACGTATTCACTTAAAATTTCTCGACTCTATGGAGAAGATACACGATAGGAAAATGTCTTGAAACCCCGATCTGAATCCAATGGACGGGAATCGCTTAGTGTTTGCAGGCGAGAAATCGGTGGGAACTAATTCTGTCCTCTTAATAGGTCCCTATATATACTCGGTGAACCGACTGGGAAGATCCAGGGGTGTATTAACCGCAATGCGTGCGACTGCGATGGTATATTCAACGTCAGATTAGATACCTGCGGTCAAAGGAGTTAGACGCTATTAACCTTTGTCTTGGAAGACGCGAAGTGGAATCCACGAATTATGCCGTTAACCAGATGCTATCGCGAAATGTAATCTTCTCCGTGCCAGAGTAGATCGATCTGCGGTGATTATACAGACAGCTCGTATCCCCGGCAGAAATCTCGGAGTCGCTTAATCGCGTTGTTAAATTTTGTAACGCGGCTTTTGTGGATGGTATGACTATGTGTTATAGATGTCTTTACAGTAAGTAATGAATATAAAGGAAATAAAGGTAATAAACGATATTAACGCGCATAAATAGATCGCGTAAACGAATGTATATTCCGAATTTATTTATAAAAATTAAAATATATTTGTTTTTCTGGATTTTATTTTCAACCGAATCCGTATAATATTTCGCATCGTTTATATTTCGGAGATACGATAAAACATTTTTGAATATTACTAAAAATTGATACTGAAAGTCGATGCTACATCGTTTTATTGTAGCTCAATGAAATTCATACGTTTCGTTATATTGACTATGAATAATGCGAAAAATTATAAAATAAACCCAGCTGTTTTTTATCTTCAGTATATTTTTTCAATAAAATAGATTTACTGCTAATTGACGGTATTATAGTATAACGTATGCGAGAAAAACAGAAATAAAAATAACAAAGGAAATCGTGTTCTTTTACAGTAGAAATAATTCTGTTTATGACTCAAAACTGTAAAATAATAATGTGAAATATCATAAAAGATTATGTAACTGCTTAAAGATTACTGCTTTATGTAATGTTAGCTCGCAGAAATTATTTTTGAAAGAATTTAGAAAAAATATAAAACATACAGTACAGGCAATAGGAGTCAACGCTGGTTATTAATTAGTGCAATTCTTCTTAATACTAAAAGTGTAAACCTTCACTTTGAACGTTTCATGGTTTGAGTCTTCATCAGCAATCTTTCCCCCTAGTGCAACGGTTGAAGTATTGCATAACAAAATAATATCTCCAACGTTTTTCCTCTCAAAATTGAACCGTTAACTGTTTTGTGAGGTAAGTGACACACTCACAAAATTAGAAAGCTGAGTGGCAATAAGAACTCAAGCTAAAATTATATAAATGATTAAATTATCGTACGTATAATTTGAAAATTAATAATCACCTCACCTCACACAGTCGACGCTCCTACACAGAACAATGAATCTCTCTTATGTAACATTTTGTAACTCGTTAATATGTTAAAAAATTATCGTCAAATTTTAAAATAATAACTGCGAGAACTATATGTGTCTTGTCATTTCGACAGTCGGTTAAATAATGATTGCTAAACATAACGGTCAATTTAAAGTAAACAAACTAAAGTTTATGACATGTACTATATTACGAACAAACCTTAAAGTTTATTGAGAATCTCAATGTACGCATGATTTAAGCCAACGGTATCATGTGTAGATTTAGCCCATTGGTCTGTCGATTAATGCGCATTATCTCCGATATTAACCTTTTGTTATAATAATTCTCTACATCCAAAATCTCTACGTTTTGCCAATCAAAGTCATGATCGTTTTGCAACGTATGCTCTGTAATCACTGAATGAATGGATGTTTGACTATGGATATGCTTTTGGTGTTCAGAGAGTCTGGTTTTTAATTTTCTCCCTGTTTGTCCCACATAGGAAGCATCGCAATCACAACAATTGATCTTGTAGACTACATTCCTTTTTAATTCATTATTTAAAGAATCTTTATGAACTTTAATAAACTGATTCAACTTGTTTTTTGTTAATTTGTAATTTCTCATTATTTTTGAAAGACTTATAACGTACACCATTAATTCACTAATTTACATTTTTTCTATTCATATTATGTACTTAGTTCGTACATTTTTAATATTCAATTTTCTTCGCCAAACATAGATTTAATTACTTGTTTGAGACAGGAGATTGAAAAAGTTGCATCGTTAATCTTTTTTTTATATAATTAAACTACATATTTAATGAGAGATAAAATGTTTAGTCAGAAACTACTTAAAATTTAAAGCAATTAGTAACAGAACATTTCTCTTAACGTGGTAATAAAAATAAAGCTTTTTTGTCTTTTCTAAAATGTAAAATATTTTGATACGTCTCTCGTTCAGAATATAATCTATCACGGATCTTAAAATTATCGCTCGCAATCTGGAACTTTCGTTCGGGAGACGTACGTTCCACGTAAGAACAGTGAAGTGAAGCGCAGGCGGTAAGAAGCAGATTCAATCACTAACGCGAAAAAGGGGTTTAGCTGTCGAGAAAATTCTTCAAGTCTTGACTTTCTGGCTGGCAATTCGAACGATTGCGAATCGATCCTATTTCCTCGCTGTTAAGTGGAGCTCTCAAAGAGCGAACACTCGAAACTGTGTGGATGGCTTGTCTAAAACGCGATCGAAAGGGATTTTGGTTTGGAAGGCCCTCTTGTCTCTTTATGGAGGCTCGTGAAGTACACTGCGTCAAGTAGAAACCACTTCGTTCGACGATCGTATCGTTGATCCGATCAATATGGATGCTATACCAGAATTGCGCGCGAAGTATGTACAACTCTGTACGTGACCGATAACACCGCTTTGCACAATCCGAAACGTTCGATATT